TCTGAGAACTTTTTTCTCAAGTGTTTTGAATGAATTTAGTATTTATTTTTCAACAGTTAGCTTCAGAATGGTACTTGCAAAGGAAAAGGCTTGCTGTTATGGAAAAAGGTACACTTCAGCATGGCCTCTCAAATGTGGCTCAGTCCTGATAAGGAAAACCAGCTTTTAGCTGCTATAACTGCTACTGAGGATGGCATTGCAATCAGTGTTTTAGCTGACATGCATTTCTGCTGTATTCCTTTCATCTGTCTGGTGGAAATTTGCCTTACTTTTATCTAATTGCTTGTCAGAATGGTCTATTAGAGATGCTACTTACATTGGAAAGGCCCCTTGGGTAAGAGCTAACCACACCAACTCTGCCTTCTGCATTACTGTAATTGTGAAAATTTGGAAAGAACAATCATTTGGAGAAGACAATTTCAGGATCTATAAACACAGCATATCACAAGTTACTTTGCACTTTGTATCCTTTGTGTTGAATTCTATTTTTTCACTTCGGCAATCTTTTTAATGATCGGTACACAAACTCAGTAGGGGAGTTGGAATGGAATTGGGAAAAATCTGAAGTCCAAATGTCACAGTTTTGTAAACAGAATTAATATGCTAATGAACAGCATCTGTATGAACTTGGGATAGCAGTGTGCATATTTTCAAGTATTGTATTTCTCACGAAGAGGTGTCTTTTATAAGGACAACTCTTTTGAAAGAGCTTTGAAACTGCGTACCATGACATGATACAAGACTTCAATATTTCTTTTAAGAACTAAATTTTGGTGCAGTATTCGCCCCAAATTCTAGTCTTCAAGAGCCAGGACATTGACATCCTTAAAAAGGTTTTCACAACACAAGCCCAGCTGTGGGAGAATCTCTTTTCCAAGTGCAGAGTCCTAAGCTTTGTGAAACCCTAGGAGTGATGACAGTTAGAGGAGCGCTGTGAGAATGTTTTCAATCGCCTTTATCTTTTGGCGCTTCCTGCAGCACACTTTGGTTTAGGCAATGGTTGTGGTAAGAGGCGGTTAAATTGATGTAAAGACCAAGTTGATTTGACATGTTTTTTAACCAAGTGTTTATTAGTTGAAATAATCTTGGGTGTTTTTTGGCATAATTTATGTTTGAGTGGGAACTTGACTCATTGTCAGAAGTCTGTGTGTTTTTGAGCATGTTAAGCTGATGTTACCAAATGGAACCGTGGGAGGCTTTTGGCTTGTGTTTATGGAGTATAAACCAAAGCTCCTACCTTGCTGTCTCAAGAACCACAAAAATGTTTATAGAAGTCAGAGATGCAAGAAAAAATGTTTTCCATATAGTCTGTCTACTTGCCAGTACTAGCTTTTTCCTTGGGTTCCTTTCCACTATTTTGTTCCATCTAGTTTTAGGTATCACGAGGGATGAGACTTCCTCTGCATTCCTATGGAAATTATTTTGCCGTCCTCATAAGACTTTGTGAAATTTTTCCCTCATTTATATTTCCTGGTTCTTATATTTCCAGAGCAGAACCCACACCAAAACCGTCAGGGGTTGCTTTCCTGTTAGCTTTGGCAAAACGATTTAGGCTTCCTTCTTGTCTCTGTCTGCTTTTGTTAACTAAGTGAACCAGTGATCATTCACATGCCTCAAGCTACAAGTGTTTCTGGAGAGGTGTCGTGATACCTTCTGCTGAAGGGTGCTGTGAACATTTTAAATCAACCTGCATATATCAGGTGTGCAGTAGTAGCTGTTAGAGTTTCTTTTATTGTATTTTCTTGTGTTTCTTTCAGACTGGATTTTCTGCTCAAAATCTGGTGTCTCTTAAATCTTCCTAACTGGTTTCCCTTGTTCTCTTCTCTCTGATCCCTCTCCCCTTTAACACTAAGGTACTTATGCATAAGCTATGTAAAGGCCAATTATAGGCACGTAAAGATAGATTAAGATGAAATCAATGTTTCATCAGTAAGCAAAAAGTAAAATTACTCTTGTAAGCCACTGGTAAGAATGGGCATTTGTTCCTCACTTCATCAAAGATAATTTGTCCTTAAAGAACATATGTATTTGTCTTGGGCACGTAACAGTCCAAACTAATTTGAGCTGTTATATGAGTCTTCAGGAACACAATAGCTTTTGCAATTGTTTCAAACCCCAAAATTATAATTTGATTGGTCCTCTTTATTTTATTTTTTAATAATGTGTATATATAAATATATAAGTAAGTAAATATTTACTGTTTTTTATATATATAAAACAGTAAATATTTACTTACTCTAATCGTTATAACTAAGTTCATCAGGAACTTAGTTCCTGATAGTAGTGATAGGACAAGGACATTCATTTGAATGTTATTTGATTCATGAACATTTGTTCGTTTCATTCATGAGCCAGATGAAGTAATTGGAAATTGCTTACTTTTGCATTTTGTCTTTGTGTTTTGCTTGGTTTGCTGAGCTAATTTCTTGTGTGTTGACTTGCTCCTCTGCCTTTAGCTTGAGTTACAGTACACAATAAGGTGCACAGTGGCAGCTGCTTTTTGAAAGGTTGCCATCTGGAAGGAAGTGCAGAGGATTGTCCTGCAGACCTGCACGTACATGTCCAACACGCGTTACTTGTGGATACACCCTACCTCAGGTGGGAACAGAAGCAGCTAAAGGCACACAGGCTTTTTGCAACACAGAATCAGCTTTGTGAAAGCTGTTTTTTCCAAGTTGAGTTTGTAAATGCTTTCTTAGATCTGGTATATATTCTGAAGCGTTGCACAGTGTGATAACAGATGAGCTAAGCTGTTTGCTGCCAAAACTCTGCGAAGTGTGAGCGGTATGCAGCCTAAGGAGGAACACTGCTGTTTTAAAACTGTGCCAACCTTAATGTTGTAACTAAATTATGGTTTAAATCACAAAATCATCACAGCATTCTTGAAAGAAGGTGCAAACTAGGATCACTCTAAAAAAGGGGGGAGGATATGTGCAACGCCCGTGAACCCATAGTGAAAAAGGAAAGTAAGCTGTGGATTTCGCGTCTTATCGGGATATTTGTGCTGCATGATCACCATCTCTCACCAGTCTCATAGCTGAGCCTTTTAAGAACATACTCTGCACTTCTAACTGCTGTTCTCTCACAGCCCATTCTGGTGCCTCAGTTGGAGAGATTGTGATATGGTGGTGCCTCCTCAACAGCCCTTCCACAGTGTGTCAAAAGGCAATAAAGCAAAGAAACTTGGGTTTGTGATGTGGTGAGTCTGTATCATCTTAAAGCTTCTCAAGTGGAAACAGTGGCCAATGCAGTTCAGTAAACTTATCAGAAGTAAATTTACACCATGAGTGGAATTTCTACTTGAATTAAAAAAAAATAAAATAAACACATGAACTTTTATACAAGTAAAGCTTCTATGCCAGATATCATTAGTCTGCTTTATTGTGGCTCTGTTCTCCCACAGCCAATGTAACATGGGTGCAAATTTTGGCTTATTTAATGGAAATATGGGCATGATTGATACAGATCAAATTTTTGCTACTGAAAGTTTCTTTCATACACAGAGCTCATGCAAGTGAGTGTGTGAATGCCTCTTCATAAATGAATTAAAAGGTTTCTGAAGTCTGCCTGACCTGAGACAGATAGTTTTAAAACTTCAGGAAGTTTTGTGAGCGTGTTGGGTATGAAAGTTTGTTGTGTCACTTTATAACTAAGTTCTGTGCAAATTGAGAAGACTGTTTCTGCTTATACAGCTTTAGTTCAGCTTTTGGTCCTACTGAGCAACTGGACAGTTTTACTTGCTGAGAGTCGGCCAAGGGGGTCTCTGTGGGAGAATGCTGATAAACCTTACTATTTTAAACTGAGTCTCTCTCTGCTGTTTTTGAAGCACAGTGTGTCTCTTTCTTCTGCATATATCGTGTTGTCTTGCCTCCCCATCCCTGTTTCAGCCTGGCTGCTGCAGTGATGGCAACGCTTCTCAATTTCACATCATGTGTCCTCGTTGTGATCTTTCTCATTTTTGCCCACCTGTAAAGCTTAGCTTTTCATTTCCCTCAGTTAAGCACTTTGAGACTGTTCAGTGATCTCCATCCTGTACACCCTGAAAAATCATTACTCTTCCAGTGTCCCTGCAAGACTGCATTGTTTTGGTGAGGCAGTTCAGGAGTTAAAGGCTTGTGGAGTTTCAAAGAACTGCCGGACAGCTGCTGTAAAGTATCCCTCCAAATCCTAGCTGACCTCATTCTTGTCAGACAACAGTGATAATATCCAAACACGGGTGCAAGACAGGAAGTGTTTCAGGAAGGTATATGTTTCATGCAAAGACATCAGAAATGTGCTTTCTCCCAGGGCCACTTACTGTAAGATCCACATTAATTTAAATGAAGCAGTGCAATTCCAGAATGTGTTTACAGAAACGTTATTTCAGTCCAAAAAAACCATTGCTTGTTGCTCTAGTGTGCAAATGGGCAAAAGCAGATGAGTTAACCACTGTATGTATTTAATATAATGATACTGCTGGCTATATGAACCTACTTTTTAAACATGTGGAGGATTCACATTTTGATAGTTTTATTTACTATTTTTAAGCGATATCTTTGACTTGAAAAAGGGACGTGAGAGAAATACAAATCTACTTAGAACACATTTTCACATTTACTTTACACTCAAAAACTGATTAATACCTTACAAGCTTTCCGCTAATTTAATCAACTGAGTTCCTTAGTAAGTAGAAAAAAATCCCGTTTTCCCCCCAGTGCATTCTATGACTTAAAATTTAAAAGAATTGGATAAAATGGAGCAATGCCCAGTACGTGTAGGAAGTGTGAGAAAATCTTCTAAATTTTTGCAAAGAAAGTAGGAAGGGTTTGGCTTCTGAAAGATATAACATTTTTTACTAGTCAGTCTACCAAGTTATCTGCAAAAAGTGTCCTATATGTACAGGTTCCTATTATTTTCATTGTATTTTCATTATTTTCAACTGAAAAATTCATACATGAGAAATGACTTTATATTTTTCAGTAGCACTCACTTAAAAGCCTGCAAATAGAAATAATTCTTACCGGTTCAGAGCTCTTCTGCTGATAGTTAGGGGTATTTTCCCCTAAATTTCCTCCTAGTTGTCTCCAGAACTGTGTCTCTTATAGTATGAATCTGCAGTAAAATTCAAAAGTAACTGATTAGTTTTAGCAAGCATAAGTAAATACTGCTTGAGAGAATTCTTTAGATTGCAGAGGTCCTTATTTCAGCATTAACTTGATAAATTTATAAAAAATAATTTAATAAGAGTTAGAATAGATCCAGTAAAGATTCTACCATTTAAAAAGTTGCACGTGAATGATATAATTAACTACACTGAAGTCTAGCAGATGCCTGTAAGAATATTAAAATGAAGCACAGCTATTTAACCTTGGGTTCTTGTTTCATTTAAAGACTCATTTCTCCTGTACTTCTTTCCTGTATTCTTCTGCAGTTTGAAAAATACTCATTTATGTTGGTAAGGAGTGAGCAAATTCTAGCTGCTAGAACTTAACACAGTTAACTTCACCTTTGCAACTTCCCCGGTTTGTGAGGCTGGGTCACAGCTCTTAAAGGGCCCTTTGAGAAGTGAAGCCCACGGCCAGGGAGCTGCGGGATGTTGAAGGGTGTACTGGCAAAGGGTGGTCTTTTTTTACAGAGATGTGACCAGGTTGCTCAGATGAGGTGCACAAGGAGATAAAGGCAGGCAACTGGAAGGAAGACCTGAGTGAGACTGAACTCAGCCCTGCTACGTGCTGAGGAACGAAACGAGCATGATCTGCGTTTTTAGAAGACGATCCAAGGATGTAACAGAAAAGAAAGGGAAGGGATTATTTGGATGCAGGAAGGCATATTTTTGTTATTTGCTGGTAGCAACTCATTCGATATACACACACAGTTGTTTCAGGCTGAATTATATTTTATATTTGTCTGCTGTTTCTGGAAGTTATTGCCAAGAGTGAAAAACCGCATAATATATTGCTAGTATTAAACCAACTATTACTGATGGATAATGACAGAGTAGAGGGAGAAGGCACCAGTTAGTCTGGGTTAGCTCATGTGTTCTGGATAACTTTCTTGAACTCTTAGACTTCTAAAGTTCTGCTAGGCTATGTTGATTTCCTGGTGCTTTTTGGATGTGTGTAATTGTCTCTGTGTCAATGTCAGGTAATCTCAAGTACTCCCATGATAATCTTCCTCATGCTTTTTCACTTAATGTGCCATTTGGTCACTTTTCTATTGGCTATTTCAATATGATAACAAACACCACAAAGGCTGCAATAACACCCCATAACAAAAGAAGCATGTTTGAGTTTTTAAAACTACAGGTGCCCTGCATGGTCACTTATATTTTACTTATCTTTGTGTTTTAATGTTACAGGCACCAAATTTTGGATCTGTAGAGACCTCCTTATTTAAGTTCCGAATTCTTGACAGTGAAGCATGGAATTCAGTCTCTGAAGTCAAAAAGTCATAAACCTTTTGGGAAACTTTATCTAATTACCGATCAGTTACCGATTCAGACACAGGAGAGAGATAAAACCAGAATCCTCTTTTATTAACTGTTGGTTAAAACAAAAAAAAATTCTGTGAAATGCAGTGTAAACATTCACCTTATGAAATCATCTAGCGATCCAAGATATGGGAAAGTATGTTGATCCATCAGTCTGTCTCCTTGGCTTTTAAAGGAGATTTATCATGAGGCATTTAATTAACTTGTTTTCTTGTAATAATGATTAAATGTTAAAAATGTGTTACTTAAGGGATTTTTTTCCTTCAAAGTATATTGGGTTGGTTTTGACCAGAATAACAAAATGTACATAAGGAAATTCTCTGCTTCAAAAGAAAAAAAAAAATCCTGATTTTCAATATAGCACAATAAGGTGCTTTCTGGCCCTTTCTTGTCTTTGGTCAGAGAGGGAGGTAGTAAGAAAATACTGGATGTGAATTTGGTGCACCTGTTAAGACCCCAGTGACTTGTCCAACATGTTAAATCCTCATGGAAATGAGGGCAGGATCTCAGGGATTTCTTGTTAGAATTCAGCCCTCCAAACCCTCCATGCTGAAAGAAAGAAAGCTTTTTGCATATAACTGAAGTCATTCTACATTACTTTCACAAACACTGAAGTCATACTAAGATAGTGTAACACTTTTTGACACATCATCATAGTTCTTTTTTTAAGAACCAAATAGCTCTTTACTATTTTGAGTCACTCCCTGAGTAGTGGTTTGCAGCAAGTTTAATTTTTGGGCTTTCTGTTGCTTTTCTGGCAACTGTAGAGAGGTCTGTTCCATGTCTCACCCATGCCCAAAATGTGGTGGATTTCTTTTCTGTTCAGTTCATAATTCCTGCCAGCTCTGTGACTGTCCCTTTTTGATCTCAATGTATTCTGGCCTTTCTCCTTCATCTTTATGCATCCAGCTAAAATACCTCCCCATCAAATGTATAGAGGAATTTGGCAGTTGTCTTGGTATTCTGAAAGAAACTAAAACCAGGCTGTTGTGACTTGTCCCCTTCAAGGGCTCTTCCCTGGTGCACAAGGACAATCAAGGAATATGATGCCTTACTGCTTAGAGAGCTCTGTTTGAAAATCTGTGGATTTTTCAGTGAAAAGAGTAGGACTTCAGAATTGATTTGGTGGGTTTTTTTAAACCCAAAGAACTGAGATTTTTGTTCAGTTCGTGTTTTAACCATTGTGTTACTGAGCTAATTAAGGTGGATAGTGGAGATTAAGCCTTGCATGGATGGGTTTAAAGGTGTTAATTTTGTGAGTAGTTAAATGCGAATGTAGAAATACTCAGAATAACAACACACTGCTCTCTCTTGCATACGTGGACTGTTACCTACATATGCATTAATTAAAAAGCACAAAAATTGAAGTATATGGGGTGCATGAAGGTCCTGGTTCCTAATGGTGGCAAAGGTGCTTTGAAAGAGAAATGCTGTAGTTTAGGATAGTTAGACATGCCTTCCTTTGAATGAATGGGATAAAATGCCTAAGCCACTTCAGGGCTGTCACCTCTCTCCACATTTCTTGCCTGTTGATGTTCTCTTTCAGTAGTAGTTGTATAACCTCTCTTTACCAGCCAAAGTTTTACAGTCACTTTAAGGAAACTATTTGCATTGCACCCGTGGCAGTTTGGTAGTTGTTTGTGCTTTGCTCTGACTCTGACTCGCTGCCCTTCTTTCAGAGGGCACAGTTTGATGCTTCTGAGCCTGTTTCTGCTTAGGGGGGATAGTGATGCTGCCCAGTTTTGGTAAGGTGTCCTTCTGATCAAGAGGTGAAAAACCAGACAGAGTCTTCTTTTTAATGATCCCAAGAGAACCTGCATACAAACTGCATGAAGGCCTGCAGTCTCTGAAGGAGATGTAAGGCAATCCTGCTGGGATTTGATTCTGCCTCTGAGTCATTTCAACCTGGTTTTTGACCCATTAATACACCTTTGTCACACTTGCTGTTGCCTTTTGTTGTAGTCATTACATTCTTCTGGTGTCTCTGCAGCCATTGTCTGTTTTGTGTCTTTGTTTTTCTTCACCGGGGATGGATTTTTAAGTTGGCAAGAAGATATCAAATTCTGTTCCCACCATCAGAAAACTCTGCATTTGCATGGGGCATATGACAGACATGCAAACTCCACTGCATGTTCCCTTGAGCAAACTGCAGCTTCCTGGGGGAGGACTCTCACTACAGGAGGTGTGCAGGCTGAGTGGGCTGTGAGTGTTCCTTCTCCTTGTCTTTCTACAGCCTATACTAACAAAGTGCATGTGCATGTTGCTTCCAAGGCGTGAGTTAATTTTTGCGCCCCTTTTTAGATGTGGACATAGAAGGAAGCAGTGGCACAAAGGAAGATAGAGGAAAGGTCTCTAAGGAGCCAGGTGTGTCCTCAAAACCATGGAAAGCCCTTGTCACCCTTTAGTATGTATTAGAGGCACACACAGGCTCACTCCATTTGACAGATACCTTATGTGTTTGAAAGAGTTTCTTGGCTTTCTGCTGAGTTTGAGTGGGCCATTTAGAGCAGACAGCTTTCTCAGAGGGGACAAAGGTCAGTTTGAGATTTTTAGGTGTACTGTATGTAATGCAAGCTATTGGCAGATTTGAAGTGTTTGTCGAGGAAGAGGCCTTTTTTCCAAGAGAAAGTTTTGGGTGCAGAGTGGAAAGAGAATATTTGCTAGATATGTATGAAATGTGTATGTTTTGAAAGCCACCATTAGATCAGATGTAAACTGTGAGCCTGGTTTATACTCCTCAGGGCAGGGGAAGATGGAATCTGTTGTTTATCCCAGTGCAGGTTTTCCCCAAGGTGCTCACGTACACTATTGAATATTCATTAAGCTGTTGGCATTGTATCTCTAAATTTCTTCTTTGGTTTTGTATCTTAAATGAAAAAAGACAAGCCAGACACCCCCACTCCTTCCAAAATAAAATTGCTAAACTGTCCTTAACACTTAAGCTGAATAAGCACAAACAGATCTCTCTTACCAGCCTTCTGCTTTTCTGGCAAACCCTGTTTATCGATGTAGGCATTATTCTCAAAGATTTTTCACTGTTGCCCACATACTCTTTAGCTGACCTTCAAAAAAAACTAATGAGAAAGGGAATAGTTTTAAGGCAATTTACTGCCTATTTGAGATATGGGATTATTAGTGTCTTCCTGCATATGACATTGAACAATTATCAGGGACAAAACAACTTTTCGCTTCTCTCAAGTCAATGTTGACTTTAAAGTGAGAAGCCAGAAAAGGGACATGTCATTTACATAAGTTGAGCAAACATTCAAAACATCTTGATTTTAATCTTAAGGAGAGATTGAGGTCTACTGTGATGGCACAATAGAGATACTTTCTGAACTGGTGTCAGAAGATGAATGCATTTTCTTTGCTTTTTTGAATTCTTTGTTATTTTGATACATTGTCTTTATGTTGTAGGTTTACAGTTGGTCCTGTTTTGTATGTTACTTTTAATATTGAGGAAAGGATGCCATTAATAATTTTTAAGAACAGAATGGTCAGCTGTTTTTAACTGAAGTGACACATTTATATATCAGGAGCTCCTGCACAGCGATTGTAGTGGGTCAAAGACAAAGGAGATTTCAATTTCTAGAGCTTTGCTTTAAGATGGAAAGTAGACCTGCAACCCTGTGGTTTAAAGTCATGAAGCTATGAAATCAATTTGACAGTTCACAGGATTGATACTAAGATAAAATGAGAAGAAAGGGAGGGAAAAGGGAGTGTTCTATGGGAAGGAAAGAGAAAAAGAAAATAGGCAGTCCACTTAGGAAGAATTAGAAGCAGATGAAGCCATGAGAACCTGAACAAAACCCCATAAGTAGTGGGTTTGCCATTTTCTGTGGATGATCTTAGAAGTGCTACTGTGAAATGGCTCTGGGGGACTTAATAACACAGCTGCCGCTACTACTACCTGCTGCTACCCCTTGCATGTTTTGGATGATAATTTTCTTTGTTTCAAGACACCGAGGATGATTTAATTCTGCTTTTAAAGTAATCTGCAGGCGCTTTTATTTGCTTAAAGTGAATGGAGTTGATCTGCCCTTCCTTCAAATGATCATTAGTTTTTCAAGATGTTTAAGGTGAAATAGCCATATACAATATTCTAAATTGCAGCCACATTTACTGAAGTGACTGCTATCAATTCAGAACGAGAAATCATTTTAGAAAGAAGTTCTAAAGTGTTCAGGTTTTCTCTTGCTCCAGTGTTTCCCATTGTCCTTCTTATATTTGGTGGAGTAGCCAAGATACCTGGCTGAGACATGAATGCCAACAGTACACTTTGTACTCATTGTACAGTTGATTCACAACTATATGCTATGAAAGATGTTTAAAAACATCTAGACTAACATGGAAATTACGTAACTGCGGTGAAAACTTCAAAAGAAAGCGTGGGGGTTTTTTTTCTTTCCTTCTTTGCTTTGTTTAGGTACGTGTTTGGGCTGGCTTTTTATCCGAGCACTTTTGCGAATCCTCTGTATTTGTACTCTAAGTAACTGGTTCATCAGGAACTTTGAATGAAGTATACAGTCTCACGATGGGAAAATACCATTTTTTTTTTTGGTTTTTCTTTTTCTAGTTTCCATGTTCTTTTAGGGTGTGGTTCAAAGTAAAATGAAATTTAGGTTGGTCTTTCCTTTTTTGACCTGCCAAAGTGTTTGTTCTGCTAGCATTGCTCTGCTCCCTGTAAATCAGACATTCTTCTTGGGCTGCGTCAGGTTACTAATGACATGATTAATGCAGGAAGGGTAGAGAAGGATGACGTAATGGCTCATGCAAAGTTTACCTGAGAATTATCTGTAGCTCTCTACTGTTTAGTGTCTGTGTGAGTCATGGCCTGAAGCCCTGCCATTCCCTGTTCTTCAGCTGGGCAAGATCACACTTACCTCATTCTATGTATGCATTTCTCCCTTTCCTGCCAGATCTGATTAGAAGCACTTTTGTTTTAAACTCCATGTTTATGAAACATTAAATACACTTTTTGCAGATAGCTGACCATAAGGCTAAATGAAAAGTGCCATTAGGTATCTGTGACCCAGACAGCTTTAGAAACTTTCTCTCTTCTTACACTAATTCTGATTCTTATCAACTAAAGTCTTTTTCACATTCATGGGTTTAGCAGTGATAGTGTTTTGACATTAGTAAGCTTTGCAACAGGACCATGAGTCAGTTGCTGCCTGTCAGTAAAGTCTCCTGTTTCTTCTTGTGTATTTGTACAGATAAAAGCTTACAAAATACAAACAGCCAGTTTGTGATGCTGTCTCCAGCTTTTGTAACTTCCTTGGGCTGCAGGTACAGTGGTTCCCATCAAATTTGGTTCACCTATTGATTCCTTAATGAAATACTTGGGAAATTGAACTTACTGATCAAGAAATCTGGAGCCTGTTCTCTGATACACTTCAAAGTCTTGGTTATTCTCTTTATTGAGGGCTGGCTGATTGGGCCTCTTTTGTACCTGAAGATGGCATTTGCTGTGCTAGTTGTGTATGTGTGTCCTTTAGCTGTCAGACTCTCTTGAGTCTCTCTTAGGAGATTAAAATGAAGTCAGTGTAGAATTTGCAAGTAGCGCTGATTATTTTTTTCAAGACGCTTTTGTTTTCTCTGTAGAACTGTCACAAAGTCTTTGGCGTTCCTCAGGACCTCAGCTTTCCTCAGCTGAAACTGTTGTCTTTTCTCTGTGTGAGCTACTTAGTCTGAATTATCTTGTGCAAAAAGTGTTTAATGTTTAACTGCTCAAGAGCATGCTGAAAGCAAGCTATAGTTTTCCAGCCAGCTCACATCTCACAACCTGCCAAAGCCTATATCAGGAACATGATGTGTGGGAAAAAGTTCTAAAATGACAGACAGTAAAATGTCTTGTGGGAAACCTAAAATGCCATGAGACTCATTCTGTTAATAAAGAATGTTTTTACAAGCACAGCATCATCCCCTTTACTTTTTGACATTTTGAAAAATGAAAGCTTGAGAGTGTAACATTTGTATTGAATGTAAACAACCTTGATACTTAGATAAGTGACATTTCTTGGAAATAACATTGCCCTAAGAGAAAAGAATGGCCAAAGTGAATAATTAGCTAGAAAAAAAAACTTAGTTCTGTAAGGCTCAGCTACTTCTATTAAAGGCCATACTGATGCCTGAGATAAAATTTTAAATCCAGTTTCTAACTATATTTTGCGAACATATCTTAAAGGAAACAAACTCATCCTATGATCTTTTAATCTGAAAAGATGCACTAGATGAGTAAATTCTTTATGTAAACATATCGTTAAAAAACTCAGAGTTCTCAGCGTGGAATACATTTTGCATACATTGCAGTACATGCTAATAGATTTAATGATTATAATTACAGAGATGCCTGAATGGGGATGGCAAAAGTTCATGTTCAGCTCTATGTTGTCTGTATTTAATTTTACTGCTTTTAAAGGAACTGTTTATATAAAAGAGTAACATAGATTTTATTCGGTGAGTCAATGTTTAGGCAAAAAATAAGCATATTGTTTGACACGTGCCTTTGTGTAAGCTGTGTTTCTAGAATCTGTCTGTCAGTTCGAGCGGTGAAATGGTATTTCTGGCTTTTGTTTTCTTCTGGCTAAATAGCCAGTGCCTTGGCTGTAGAACTGATTTTTTTGCCTTTTGTCTAAACCCCTCTTCTTTTGCACTTTCAACTAGAAAATTAATCAAACAAAGCTTAAAAGTTTTTTCTCAAAATTGAAAGGCACTGAATGAAATAGAAGTGAAAAAAGAAACTGTTCCATAAAACTTGTACCTTCACTTCTCCTGCAGTTTTATGAAGCAGGACATGGCCCACCCTTGAGTTCCTCAAGTTGGAGTTGCCTCTTGGTGCACAAAGTGACAAAGAGCCCTGTGGGGAGGGAGTGAGCTCTGTCTGGCTCCTTGGCTCAGCCAAACTCACAAATCCAAAGGAAGCTCTGATTGAGGAAGGGCCCGAGAGGCAGGAAACAGGTTTTGGCAGCAGTGCCCTGGCTCAGGTGGCCAGATAACAAGTGTACCAAGCCAAAAAAACTAAGTGGGTTAAATGGCCAGAACTATAGTTCGTAGTCTTATTTACTGGGCTTCTTAAATCTCAATTAGCTAAGGAGTAATGTGACTTTTGCACATGCTTTTCTTTGGTTGGCATTTGTGGTGTATTCTTGAGCTTCAGACAGGATTGTCTGATAACACCACAGGTCACCCTGTGTTTCTGTATACAGGTAGGTAGCTCTCTCAGATGCTTTGTGGAGTCATCTTGGTACTTCAGTAGTTTGTATTTCACTGAAGATCACCATGCATAGGGGGATGCAAAAAGCCAACATTAGAGTTTTACCTGTTCAGAAAAAGCCCTATTAAGTCTCCAAAATGGTGAAGATTTAGTATTTCACTTTTGCTGTGTATGCCTTTCTTCCTCTGACCTTTGCTGGTACATTAGTTACACCAGGATCATAGGAAGCCTGCAGCAAACTATTTCAGTTTGGTGTTGGCACATTATCTTCCAGGGAGAGCACACAGAAATGCTTTTTCAAATCTGCTTTCAGATTTTGCATGTTGCTGGTATCCATTCATCAACTGAGCAGTCTCTCATTACGAGATACCAGAATGACACGGGGAATCTAAGTGTTAAAAAAAACCAAACCCAAAAACCTCAAAAAAAACCCCAAACAACAAAACCAAAACAAAACCCCCCAAATAAACAAATAAAAAAATAAAAAACCCCAAACCAAACCAAATCTAAAACACCTGAAGAAAACAAGTGGAATTGAAGAAAATTATGATCTCAGGGTAGGCATGATGCTCAAAGTTGGTGCCAGGAAGGTATCACATGCCAAAGAGAGATGGTTCATGCTTGTGATGCAGTGGAAGAGCAGTGCAAAGGTCTGTGCCTGGAACCTTTCTTTTGGCTCCCTCTGGCTTTTGAGGAGGGCCCAGACAATGCCTCTCTGATGAGATATCTTATGTTTCTTGTGAGACTCTACCCCTTCTAGGTCTTTCTCAGAGGCTAAGCCTTTGTTCCTGGTTCACTGGTGGCTAAAACAACCCCTTGCAGGGTTGTTGCTCTCTGACCTTCCTTGCTCGCTGCTCAGCTACCCTGGAGACCTTGGCGTGAGCTCAAGCAGGGAAGTAGCTACAGGGTAGTTCAGAAGCTTTCTGAATGCCCTGTTGCTCTTTGGTTTAACAGCGTGGGAAAAGTGAGTAACTTAACCAAGAGATCTTCCTTCATTCTTGGTCTAAGTGTTCTCCTGGGAATTGGTGGGTTTGTTTGTCTTGTCTTTAGATAGGCCTGACTTTCCCTCCTCTCCCATAATTGCTACTGCCACCATTTTTCCATTTGAGAAGGTGTTTCCAGAGATAACCTCTTCAACTTCCTGAGTGCAACTCTGTGACATTCTTAATTTGTACATGTTATTTTCTGCTGTTTGTCTAGCTTTGGAAGTTTCCATTTCCCAAATCCCTTTAGGAGAGAGAGGAAAAAACTTTGTGAGGGTGATGAGGCATGGGCATAGTGTCTTTTACATCACCATAACAAATATTTTCCATTTCTGAATTTACTAAAATCTTCTTGCAGGTAAATAACGGAATTTGCTGACTGGGGATCTGTCTACAAAGGTTTTTCTTTTGTAGTGATTCTCCTAAATGTGTTTAAAGGATAACAAAAAGTCACAGAAGTTAACACTGCTATGATATTTGGAATCTGGTTCAGAGATCAGGGAAGTTGGTGTTCTTGAATACCACTTCATAAAAATGGAACTACTGGATCTGGTACTTCTCTCATTGACCTGTTGGTCTGGGGAAGATGACCTTTTACCTGTTGTTCGGAAAGTCATTCCCAGTGGCGGGGATGGACCAGCTGAAGAACAGATTTTGATGATAATAAGTTTCAACAAATTGCATTCAAATGACTTCCGAGGTAGGAGTGAGAGATCTTGGTGTGAGCTTGTGGACTCACTTAAGTTTTTTCAAATCCCCACAGGACACAAATTTATGGGATGCCAAACCACAGTGGTTCCACTGTTTGTAGAGCTGCTTGCTCTTTTTTGTGGTAGTTTTTTTTAATCCAGTTATGGCTGCCTTTGCTAAACTTGTGTTGTGTTGCTAGCTTTACTGTGTATGTTCCAGTTGCTAAAATACAAGAAGCCACAAAGGGCACCAGTATAATAAACAAGAACAAATAAGGACAGTCTGAAATGCTGTTATTGCAGATAGCTGTCTTAACATCTGAAATAAAAATTCTTTCTATTTTTTAGTATTTATTTTAGTTCCAGCTTTCTTACACCACTGTGAACTTCTTTTGTCCCACTGGAGTAAATACAGGAGGACTACTGCTCACTTGCAACTATTTAAGAATTGCAAGCAGTAGAAGTAAAAAGTAAAAAATACTTGGGATGTGAGAATGAGGTTTTATGTGAAAAGTAATTATTTTAAATTCTGAACATTAGACCTGCTTTCAATTTTGTATGCATGTTTCTCATGCAAAATTTTGGAATTGTCACCTTATGATGAAAGAAGTTCAAGCTTTTTCATCTTTTCTCATTTCTGATTCCCATTTAATGTAATGAAACAATCACCATGATGCTTGTGCTTACTCTAATTCTAGTTATTTATAAATAACAATGATGAAAGCTATGGTTATGAAAGCAGTTGAGCCTGGTAAATATCCTTCAAACTCCTCCTGATTATGTGTAAGTGACAGCAGTATAAGATTAGACTCAGTATAAATTTGAGTCCTGCATTTAAAAGTTCCTGAATTTCTGTGGTCCAGCCTCCTCCTTGAAACCTTGAAGATGACCTATTAGAAGCGTGATCCTTCCTACAGAATGGTTCCAATTTTCTGTAGAGACCCTTCACTTCTGGCGAACTTTTTATATTCCCTTGTTCCCCTGCTTTAAGACAGGTTTCCCTTTGGTAAAATGCTTTCCTTTATTACTTGTTTGTTTATATTAGTAGTGGTTTCCTTCTTAAGGTTAATTGTTGTTTCAAAGAAATTGCAATTTCCTGTTCTGGTGTAACTTGTTTTCTTTAGATTTGTTCCACAACTGTCATGATATCTGTAAAATATTGTTTGGGAATGCTTGCTGTTTTGAAGGTGCAATGCTCGAAGGAATGATTCTTAATCATTCTTACTTTCTTCTGTCTCTTCCAATTTTAGGTAAGAATGACTTTTGCAGTGATTTTGGCTTTTGAAGAATGTCTCCTTTGGTAAAGTATTAATCTATTTTCCTTTAAAAGAATTGTATTCTTTTTCTCTCTATTGAAGAGAGGAGGGGGAATCCTTGACCAAAGCTAGTGCTGTGCTCTTTTAAGTACTCTTGATATGGTTACTGGAAGAGAGTTTGAAAATACCAAATAGCTGTTTGGGGTTTTCTTAATAATTTTGTATATGCAGAATGATAGTAAAATAGCACAAGTAAGTTATTAATTGTCATCTGCAGCAGTTTGGAGAAGTTTGAAATGCATTTCCCTTTAATGAAGCAGTATGCTGCTTCGGATTTCTTGTGGAATATCTGCATGCTCACAGGCCCTGCCTGAGCATCTAATGAAGCTTATGTAGTATAAGTTCTTCATCTATCTATACCCAAGAAGAATTAAACACTAGATAGTAAAAAGTAGGTAAGTCAAACACACATTGTAAATTAAAGGATGATTCAACTGAGTAATTTACACAAGTTGCAACACCAGTATTCCAGAGTTGTTGGGGGGGTTGTTGTTGTTTTTGTTTGTTTGTTTGTTTGATTGGTTGGTTGGTTTTGGGTTTTGGGTTTTTTTTGTTGTTTCTGTTTTTTTTTTTTTTTTAAAAGCCTGATATGTCTTTACTGTGTAATAATGAAGTGGGGGCTGTACTGTCCTGTGTTTTTTCCCTCCACACCCGTTACAAACTGTAGACTTATAAGCTTCCCATTGAAAGGCTGCAATCTCAATGGAAAGGATCTTTCATTTAGCAGGCCTAGAAACAACTGCTGATTATAAGAGAATTGGTATATTGTGGGGAGTAATGCAACTATAAATATGACTTCCTGTGCAGTAGACATGTTTGCCAGTTACTGGAAGCTTGAAAAAGGAGATCTTGTCTGGTTACAATTCACAATCAACCTATGGAAAGGACTTGAGAACAGCGGTCCGTTTCTTTCATCAGGCCCACGCTGCTTCACAGCACTGCAGTTCTGCTTTTTTGTGCTTTTTCCTATACGTGTACAGTTTTAATTAATCAGTGAGAGGCCAGGGCATGAGGTAATGCTGGAAATCAACAATTTGAATCCTGTGATTCTTAGTAGAGAATTAATGGAAACAGAGGTATTGCTATCTTCTTGGTCAAAGCAGTATGTCATTTGGACAGTATCTAAAGGCAGTCTCTGGGCTGCTGTGTGCATAATATTCCTTTGGGGTTTGTCTGGTTTTAGAAGACCAAAACTAAGACACGAAATAGTGTAATTTATACTGGGAAATAATCCTGATCTTTAGAATTCTCTGGCATCTTTACTGTCATAACTTAGTCAGAAGGACCCTCTGTAGCCCTCTAGTCTGATCCTTTGTGTAGTGTAAGGCAAAAATCTCTCGCTTACTAGTGAAACAGATTTTATGTGGGTTTCAGCCTCTAATGAAATCACTGCAAGTTGTGTTGATTTTAGTTTTTCTCAAGTCTTAAGTATGCTCTTTCCTTGCCATTCTATCTGAAGAGCCATTAGTGGTGGTCTCAAATGAACTCTGGAGTTTGAGATGCTTTATCTCACGAGGCAAAGCTTGACTCGTGACCAGAAGTGGGTGCATGGTGCTTGTCCTCTTCTTTGCTGCTCC